CGCCCCTGTCAAGCTCTGACAAGGCAAGACAAGAAGGCCGTGCATCCATGAAGGACGCGTGGGCAAAAACACCTAACAAAACACGTTGCCCAAGTTGGCGCCTCTCGGAGGAGGAAGAGAGGGGAGGAGGACAAAAGGGGAGAACGGAGGAGTAATGCTAGCTACAGTCGGACTCGATTGGACAGGACACGCGAGAGGACACAAGACCCTTCCGAGGGCCACATTGCCACAGGAATGTAGGAAGCATGGGTCGCGAGACACAGGACACAAGGGTACCCTTGATTTGGCAGGGTCGATCTACTAATCTGGGCCGACTGTAAATGATAGCTAGATGCTTCACGTCTTGCGCGTTCGACCATGAACCTCTCGGCGGCCATCGGCAGTCTCGGGCCGTCCCTGGCGGCTGGATACCCGTCTTCATAGAAGAACGTATGGCGGCATAAACGTAATTTCTCGGGGGGGCGCTGAGGTCGGGCATGTCCTCCCACAGGCGGATTTTCGAGGAAACGCGACAAATAGTCAAACAATCATCAAACACAGCCAACAGAACACGACAAATCGTCACCAGACTATCCTTTTACCACACTTGAATACTCCTCCTGTAGAGGAACATGCCCGCCTTAAGGCTCCGTGCGGACTTCTTGGATCGGCGCTGGACCTCGCTCCCTTCGCGCGCGGAGCGCCGCTGGGAGGGCCCAGCGCCGATCCAAGGAATCCGCGCGGGCCTCCGAGAAATTACGCCTACAGTATGAGCTCGACCACAAGAAACCTTCCATAAGAAACCCGAACCTGAGACCCCAGGACGTCTATTGGTTTCTGGTGTGGGAACGTCCCGCTTTCCACAGCAAAACCATCGAAACCGAAGACACCAAGGGCTCCCTGGAGGCAAGCAGAGTGTTTGTTTGGCATGTGTTCCCACAATATGCAGTTGTTTGCTCATCGACGTCACCCACCGCAATGATACGCAATAGAAGTACCACAAGTTCCTTGGGAGGCCACCTAAGTCAGGCGGGCCCGACACACTAGGGATATGGAGTTTGTTGTTTTGCACATGTGTCAGACGAACCGACCCATTTGTTGAGGGAGATCTTCAAGCACGTAGACCTAAGCTAGGCCACGAACTGACTTTGCTATTCGGGGTAGGGTTAGCATGATGCTTAATGACGTGCCCGTCGGTCGGAAGAAATGGAAAGACACATGAAGTAGGAAAGCGTCGGAAGTAGGCTGGGCTTCTGCTCGCCCCCTGAATATAACTATTTCGAAAACATTGATTCGACGAGTATGAACATAAGAATAACACTACTACTAAACGTAATGGTAGTAACAAACAAAGAATTTCAATCCAAATACTAATACTAATAATCATAATAATGCGAAACATAATAGGGAAACCGCTCGATCCTTGAAGTAGGATGGCGCCTGCAGCAGACTGGGATCTGGGAATCCGGAAATTCCCACTTCCAACGACCGACGTGTCTAGAGGCCTCTCAGATGGGGTCAGAGTAGATGGGGTCGGAGAGTCTCGCAGCATCAGCGATGCATCGGCGACGTCGGCGTGGAGAGAAACGGGCTCCACATCGGGCAGCACCGCCGATGCATCGGCGATGCAGCGCGATCCTCCAAGAAATCCGTGCGGACCGCCCAAAATTTATGTTTATGCCGTCTCTTCTTCCTCTACAGATGGGGTCTTAGTGGCGGCGCCGGTGGCGCCGCGGGGGGGGGCTCAGCGCGGATCCAAAGAATCCGCGCGGAGCGCCAAAAGGTTATGCGTATGCCGTTTTTCTTCTTCGAATCTGGGAGGCCTAGAATATTGGGTTCATGTGATGCTTAATGCCCAGACCCCGACTTCGTGACTTTTGCCACAACGTCGAGCCCTAGAAGTCTGGACCCCTTCCCCTGGGCCAGTTTTTTCATCCTGAATCGTTTGTTGACGGTCCCGAGGCCCAAGAAAGGCCCCTGGAGCCCGAAAATGTAGAAAAAAACCTCCCGTCGTGATTTTTGCACAGCGCGAGGGGGTCTGGGAGTATTGTATTGGGTTTGTGTTATGCTTCATGCGCGCGGCGGGAACCTGCCGGCGGGACCGCTCTTGGCGCACATTTGAGAACCTGATCAGACAAGAACGGGAAGTGCCGCTTGAGTCTGATGGGCGTGTTGGGCGAAGAAGAAGAAAAGGAAGGCGAGGGCGACGAGGAGGCGATGACGAGGACGACGTGGAGAATGTGAGGATACCGAGGATGTTGGCAGGCCCAAAGGCAGAACAAAACCGTGGCGCTCAACGAAACGCGGGCCAACGTGCCCTGGCCAACGGCCAACGTGGCCAAAAGCCAACACTAAGGGCACACGTGCATAAAGAGGGACTCACGGACACAAGCTGGGACCTGACCTCCAGCTTCCTTTCTCTGGCTAACTCCCAGTAGCGCCAGAAACGCCGTCTCAGGAAGGACATCAAACAACAGAAAGGCAGACCAAGAACCGCCCTGCGCCCCGCGCCAAACTGGCG